AAGAATCAACGATAAAAAGGGTTCCACGAAAACATGTAATCGGAATGAATCATAGCTATCAGAAAGTAATCTCGGCGAAGGTTTACATTTTTACTGATCACATTTGAAGTGCGGCATGGTATCGTTTTTTCGCACCATTATGTCTACTTTCAGGACGAATCCCTTTCAACGTAGAAATAAAAAAATACCCACGAGCAGGGATCTTAGATCCCAGATTTTTCAACAGGTTATATATATATATACAGTATAAAAAGCACTTGAGCAGTTTGCAGATAACTCATGACCATCTTTACATGAACAATTCGTCATGGTCAGCCGATTACGAGGAGTGATCACTTGCTGTTTGGCAGTCGATCACATGTGACTAGATCAGTCAGTAATCATCTTGATGTGCACTTGTCTGGGCCTTCCCGAAAAATGTGTAAACTCATCAACTGCAACTCGCGCTGCGAGTAGTTATCAGCGGTGTGTTAAGTGAAGTGATAAGTTGCGGCCAAAACCAACCACGTGATACCTATTCTTACCACACGTGATATACAGTCGGGATTCCTGAGTGAACAAGACATTTCATTTACCATTTATGGATCGATAATAACGCAACTGTCTTATTGAGTATTTGGCGAACGGAAAGTGAAGAACAAGTGGTAATGACGAAAATGGTTTCAAACTAATCTAGGTTAATTATTTTTTTTAAGTAAATAGAGGGAGTTGAACATCGAGTGACTAAATGAATCAACAGAAGTGATAACGTAGACACGCAACATATGCACCTTGTATTGCACATTTTCCTTGAGGCAACGCAAATTATTCTTGGAAATGCTTAGTTGAAATAATAGATTTTCTTTTGTCAAAAGTACGTCAGTGACAACGTTTCGACCCTCTTGGAAGGTTTTTTCGAGTCGTTTAATCGATTAATCTTACGTTACAAGCAATTATAAGGCGATGGGATGATGACATCGTATAGAACTCCGGTGTGATTCGAGCATGCGTGTATGTGTATGTGAATGTGTGTGTGTGTGTTGGTGATCGTTGGGTGGTTGGGGCTAGTGAAATTGGTTGGACCTTTAGGTCAACACGTGTGAAATTAGTCACTGGGCCTGTGAGCCTTCCAATAGGGTCGGAACGCTGTGACCATCACCTCTGTGTTTTGGTTTTTATTCGTCGTTCAAAGACAAGCTAATTTCCTCAATAATCATGAGCACGACGCTCACGTTTTTCAGTGAGATCCGTTCCATCCATGGATCTCGTATTTTAAAAGTACGTCAATTAAATGAGAGCTACCAAAAATGGAAAACATCTATCTCAGAGTGAACGGTTTTGAGATCAGGTTTATATATATATAGAAATCGTTAAAGCCCATTTCGGAGAGGAGATTCTGGTGAAGTAGTTGTTGACACGAATTTCGCAATTCTCCTTGTATTCTTAAATAATTATTTGATGTGGTTTTTAGATACTAATTAATAACTTGTGACGTATTTTCCTGGGTCAATCCTGTGTATACTGTGCACCAGATATTGGATGATAGAGCAGCTCAAGCTTCTTACAGTTCTTTTTTGTAAGAGTGGCCCGACAATGCTCAGATATTCTCTGGGACAAATCTCGCCTTTTGTGTCCGATTTAGCGATTAATACTAGTGCATGTGAACTGACATGTTCCATCATAGCATTGAAGTTGATGAGGCAACCTATTCTAAAGTCTAAAGTCTTCGATGAGAGACTCAAATAGGACGCTGAAAATCAGTCAGAAATGGCATTTGATGACCGATGCTTCTACTACAGAAACTCTCACGATAAACTTCTTATTCATTTGCGATCTAACATTGTTTGATTTCGATTTAAGTTGCTGCCAAATGAACTCTTCTGTGTAGCCGTTTCTCTGCAGGATGGTTGATCGCGCGATTGACGGGGTTTCAGAACTACTTATTTCCTTCGCCCATGTGAACTGGACAGTTCATTGTGTGTGTCAGTGGGACGAAACGTTGAAAACGTGCGTACTGTTTTACCCACATGTGCCTGCGGTGTACTGTTCTTTCAATATACGATCATCCTCCAAATGACGAAGTTCAAAGTTTTGCAAATCGAGAAATTTGTCTTCTACCTCTGGTGTAAATCTGATATCTGGAGGAGCGCTTTTGAATACGTGCAGTAGCACCCATTGTGCAGTGACTACTGATCTACTTACCATGCATATCACTTTCGTGTTGGCAGAGAGTGCTGAATGTAGTCCTCAATGAAATTGTTTTCGATCTGCTCTGTGTGAATCAGGCGGGCATACCATATTCTACCATCTACAATGGTAGTACACTTGTGAACAGAGAGATTCGACAACATAGAAGAACATGGTATTAGACACCATACCTGGATTTCTGAAACGATAAACGAATTCGAAAGACTAATTCACTTCATATATCTGGCTAGCAATTGGTGTAATTGGTAGGCTTGCTTATGGATGTTAATCGCTGATCGAAATGGTATATTCACTTATGAATTTTCGGCAAATCATAGAGTCTTGACGGTTGGTTGATGCACGTGAAATGCGTTTGTCAAAGATGGCTTTAGAGACGATATNGACGATATTTTCTACCTTAAATTTCTTTCATATCTCAGTGTTTCATTCAGTATTCTTGCCTTTCATTCTTTTCCTGGGCATTGGAAATTAGTTTTCTGTCAGCGGAAAGAGGTGCACTCAACTTATCGTCATATTCAGACTGGACAAACACCACCCATCCAACGCTTTCATACGGTCTTGAGAGAATCAGATTCCCAATTTTTGATGAGCTTTGAATGGCATTTGTTTAGTGAATTGTCCATCTTTTTCTGGAGTCTTCGTTTTACGGGATACTCGCTATTCCTCAAAAAGCTTGGAATGCAGAAAACTTTCCAGTGGAATCTGCAAAATTGAAGTCACGGAGAAATGAACTACTGAACTGATTCACCGACGATAAAAGAATTTATCGGCATTTGGGGTCATTTCACCTGAAATGCTTCGAGTAGAAATCCAGTTTATCCCACATCGCGATTTGAACATGAACATAATATCACAAACATAATTTAACGCAACTTTCCAAACCGTAAAAATAGAATAACTTGAATAATTTAACCATCAGATGGTATTGATTTAAGTTTCAAACTGAATGGCACTTGAATCATTCAGTGTCACAAATCAAGTAATTTTGGTCGAGAATTGAACAAGAAGCAAAAAAGTACACAGAGCTGCTTATTTTGTTCTAAAATATTCATAATACGGCTTCTCGGGGATTGACTAGCTTTCAAGAATCAATGAAAGTGAATTGAGTTCAATCAGTCTGTCGCCGGGTTGGATTTGAGAGACAGACACACGCAGATGGTTGGTTTAACCCCACTCAAATCGACCTCGGTATTCACGCCATCAACATCCCCACTTAACGAAGTACATCTTTTTGTTAGGAACGCATCGGGATTTCAACAAGTAACAGCACTCTACCAAGTTCTCATTCGTATTTAGATAAAAATGAATGTAGTAGTGAATGAGCCTATTTAAGTAAGGCTACCCAGGTGATAATATGTTTACTCCTTGTACGGTCAATCAGTTCCGCGGCTGCCTCCAATGTTTGTCACTCCTGCTGTAAGGTCTACAATAGGACCTAACAGATGACAAGTACTTTTTCCAAATGCAGTACTTTCCGTTCAACGATTGATTTTGTGGTCTGATTATATCATGTGAACAGTTAATTGACATCCGTCGTTGAAAACATTTCTGCCACAACGGCATCACACAGAGAGCCCTCACTGTTTTTGGATCAGGAGAAGTTTTTGTAAACGGTGAGGTGAATTCAATTTAGATTTGGTATTTCGAATTTCAAGAACGAGTTGAACCAGTTCCCGCGCACATAACTGTTCTACAGGTAATAGAACGTTTACCAGTAGGTGGCGCGGTAGATCAAACAACCGTCCATCATCATGATGAAATAGCATGGAATTTTCAAAGCTTTGCATTTTCCATAGACCGTTGAGTCTTGAAACCCTATGGCGATAATTTTGCAAACGTACCAACTTCTCGTGGCCTTGGTAAGACCCTGATAAACAATTCTAAAACCGCATCCTGAGTTTGACTCAAATGTTCCCGTATTAACAACAAAATTGTACTCTTCGAGTAATGAATAATTATTCGAAGCAGTGTGTGATGAAGAAATTGGAAACTTACCGGTAAAACTGAAACTGTACTGACGTGTTTTTTCTACATTACGTGTCTCTCATTATCTGTATTTCATGGAAACAAATTGTTGTTGATGTTTTTTGAAATGTTGGTTAATTTTTAACGTTTTTGAACAGGATCTCATTCAATTTATATCAGACATTGAATTTACTATCGTTGCTCAAAATACGAAATTAATTTGTCTTGTTTTAAGAGCAATTGCACTCAATTTGCTAACGTGTCGATGATGTTTCTGACAAGGTGCTTCGGTCCTCATATGGCTCATTTAAATAATTTGTACACCTTCCGTACAGGACTATGACGAGAAGGACCTGGAATTTTTCAAACGTGTTATCTTGAATCAGTGGGATGTGAATAATGACGGAAAAATTAATCGGGAAGAACTGAAAATGATGCTGATGCAACAATCTCGACTGATGCACGAGATGCAATCTCGTGGTTAAAACATTTATATCCCCTCAGTCCTCTGTCCGTCCGTCCGTCCGTCCGTTCGCTTGCGTCACCATCCATCTACCGGCTCATGCAACCGAACGAACGAACATAACTGACGAACCATTAGAGTTGACCGTTCGACTCACAGAGCGAGCATGCCCGAGCAACTCTGACCGATTCGTACCGCATATTCGTCTCATGTGTGCTCACGTGACTGATCCATCCAGGCCTCAGCTGACCTCTCTCTTTCTTTCTGATCGATACCCGTAGTTTGATGTCTGTCATTTTTGCTTCTATCCAACTGAATAACACGTTTCTGAACCTGTTTATTCTTCGTTCGTTAACTCATGTATAGTTGCGTCCCGGCTCACCGCACCTCAGCGGAACAATATCTTATCATTGACATGCTACATGGTATTTTGCTTTGCTTCTGTGTTGTCGTACCGATACATGTGCTTGCGCTTTCTCGCTCTCTATATTTGTTCACACGACAGAAAAAATCATCACCGATTGCCCTCCGAACATTTTATCCATGTGTTTTTTTTTTAATTTATTTATTTTGGTTTACATAACCATGTACATTTGCACGATTCTGTCGACTACGAGATGCAGTAAACAATACGACCGCAGTCACATTGTACCGGAATTGAGTCGAACAATTGTGACATAGTTAGTCAGTTTATTTAATTGGTAATAATAATTCTTTCGTTGAATCACATATTCATTGGAAATCATTTTTATGTAGTACGGTAAGATTGAATTCAAAAAGATGAACCTCAATTAGTTAACCAAATTTACTCTCACTCTGCTATTGCTCCTCTCACCCCGCCCATCCCTCCACCCGTCTACCGTGATCACGATACGCTCATTCATTTAACTTGACTCGTTTCTTCAGTATTTTGAACAAACCACACTTTTGAATGTTCACTGAAATTCAAATGGTCATTGGTATAATAAAGTTTCCTCAACACAACTATGAATTCTGTGGTTTTGTTTAAATGAGTTTGGCCGACTAATATAAAATGAAAATCAACCGGGGGTTTGAATGAGGATCGTACATGGATGGGTATATGTACTGGGATTTTTGTGGTGATCCAGGCCTATACGATGACACCCTACCCTGGAGCGGTGCGTTACAGTTTCAGGACATTGGTGATCAATCAAGTTTGAATGCTGACGTCAATGGCACGTGCATAGCTTCTGAATACACGTCATTGGCGGATGGTGCCAGCCAATCCAAGACAGTGCAGATAGAAGCAAGATTATGCAAGCAGTACTACAATTCAATTGGTGGAAGCACAGATATCCAATAATCTCCATTTGTACATATTATTTAATCACCTTCATTTCTTCCAATAAACGAGCTACTTACTGCCTGTCCTGTGACCTTTTCCTCGAGTCTCGTTCTCTTTGGGACATTACGAATCCGTACTATTGTGGTGCAGTGTTTCTGCGATCCAGTCCGTGATAGCTGATTATCGATTCGGGTCCTGTAATTCATATTGCGTGGTTGGTGTTCCGAATCCCGTGCGTAATACTATTGCTAATAGAATCATTACAAATGTGTCACTACGACTGGCTCATAGTGCCCGGTGATGTATAAACCCGATTATCAGTATGCATACACTTTTCAACGGTCTTGCTGAACGTACGCTCACCGTACTGGTTTCGCTTTCCATTCCTCTGTTATGCGCAAAAGAAAGTTCTCTTTGTTCCTCGATCACAACAAAATGAAGAATACGTTTGCTGATGAGCATAATTAATGAATCATCATGTACGTATTCACCACACCTTCGTAGCACACGAATTGATAGCGTTACCGGTGTCTTCTGAAAGATAAATATAGGGTTTAGAATAAACTAACTGGAAACCGCGAATTAATAGGTGATTGGAGCTCTGATGCGTTTCCAGAATGCAGTTAGACTACAGCTCCGATGTCATCGTGGACCACTGTTAGCGTACTGGTAATCGCAAAGTAAAGTTACAGTACTACGGTTTGTTTTAAACGATATATTTCGAACGTCAGTCGGGTTAAATCAATTCGAGAATAGCTTTATATACAGCACACACTGGATGAAGAACTACGCTTCATCCGTCAAACGCTGCTGGACAATGGTTATCCGGAGAAGTTCATCGAAAAGAATATTTGGCTCACTGCGGAGAAGGAAAACGCCATCAGTGTCCCCAAGAGAAAGAACTATTCATACAGATCCCATTTAAGGGGGACTCACACACACAGAAAGCCTTGTGTAGTCACTGAGAGCGGCTGTAAATTCCACCTTCCCCGCAGCAAAACTTAAACCCGTATTCTCTACATCGCCGGTGATGCGAATGCAGATGAAAGACAAACTGCCGAAACTGACCTCATCCATGATAATTTACTCTTTTAAGTGCGTCTGTGGCGCATGTTACATAGGTTGTACAGTAAGGCGTTTGTCTCAATGTGTTAAGGAGCACCATCCGCGACAATTGAGTCCGGGAGAAACCGGCTGTATCTCAAGCCCCATTGTGGGGCATCTCGTCGACACCGGGCACAAGATCGATCCGGAGAAAGCGTTTGATGTGGTTTATCGCATCGCCATCAATCGCTCAATGGCAGCCCGAGTTTGGACACTAGCTATACCCGAGGCGATCGTCATTCGCTTACTAGGCCTCTACCTGTGTGCCCAAAAGCGATTGGTGCAGGTGCTCCAATTGCCTTGAGCCTATGTGAAAACCGAGACGGAACATGACGTGTCACTTGACCCAAGTGGGGAAAGGTCACATCAACAAACACGTAAAACTTTCCTACACACACACACACGCAAACACGCACACACTTCAATTACTCTCTACTTCCGAATATTGACTTTAAAATGAGCCAATGGCTATGATTATGTAAGAACTTTTTTCGCTATATGATATGTAAGAGCACGACTAGGAATATCTGAAAACAATTGTTCGCTCAACGACTCGTTTTCTCAATGCTATCATGGGAATATTCATTATTTTATATCGATGTACTTCGATCTACGTAGTTTCTAGGCTGCATGAGTATCAATTAAACGTGCCTGACCTTGACTACGAACAATAAATGATCTGATCATGAAAATCACAAACTATCAAATATGACAGCACAATATTTTCTAATAGGAATGACTCAAGAATTATCTCAAATTATTTCCACAAACCCTTGCCATCTCGGTTATTTGTTATGAGGCATTATTTTATCTAATATATAATCCATTATAGCAACTCTATTGAATATCCAAATGAACTTCTTTCACAACTCAGAGAATTTGCATTAAATAAGTTTTCATAATAATAATTTTATTGATTTTGTCCAAGAAATCAAATCTCGACGTACGTCATTTTGGCGATCGATTTATTTCGCAGACAAATGCATCGTGTGCAACGAGCCTTGGAAGGCTCACAACAAAGTCATTTGTGATGAGAATTTCCCAAAAGATCTTATTCCACCAAATGAAAGAGTTTCTCACCCGTCGAGATTATTCATTTGGACAGGGATAAAACATGGTCAGCCTTGTCGGTGGACATCAGTAAAGGGCACCATGAATAGTGGGAAATTTTGAAAATGTTTCCAGAATTTCATGAAAAAAAGTCGGCTGAAACAGTTATCGTTTTTCAGGATAACGCTCCGTGTCACGCTTCACGAGAATTCAGTAAATTTTATTAATTTAGGTAGTCTTGTTCTCTTATTATTTGCTTTTAGACTTCAGAAACGATGCGTGACTCCAAGGTCCTGCTCATGCAACTTCCCCCTAAGGGCCCCATTTTCTCAATGTGCTTGAAGATTCGTTTACTGTTTTGAAGAGGGAGGTCAATGTGCTGCCTATACATTGAACAATGGAGGCAAAAGTGTGACACGCAATGGAGCACAGGATAGAAAATGACTTCATAACAAAGTTGGTGGATTCGATGCCGAATAGACTCGAAAAAGTCCCAATGAACAAAGGCAGACCAATCGACTGTTAGTGTACATAAACCTCACATCTTAATTAGTATGAATGTTAATTTGTTGTAAATAAAAACTGTTCCATTCTCTTAAATTACCTCCTAACTCGTCATGCTGAAGGTCAGCCACTACTGACGAAATAGGAGTATCTTGTACATTTTGAACCATTCCATCTGCTGAGTATAAACGAATCATAAAACTCACGTCTATAAAGACTCACCAAGGCCTGTTTATTATTATTTGGAAAACATTTACTTCAGTATAAATGCTGTTGCCTATACGAACCGACAAGTGTTTCACAGGGACTCGTTGCTTCAGTTTCGATTAGACCGGTTTGTGGAAACATTCACCTGATCACCATGCAAACGTTTGAAACATAGCAGAACAAAATTGTGAAATGAACTGGTAAGTGTACACGATTGTTCCAATCCTGTGTCTGTGGATAATCTATAGATACAACTTTTAAAACTTCGTCGGGTAATTGATGATCATTGTCTGAGAATAATTCAGAAGTGAAATGCCTGTGGATATCTGTCTATTATAGAGTCCGCAACATTTGTCCAAGCGGTGTCACTGCCACTCGAGATAGATGTCTTGAGAATGATGACAGTAAGTGGAAGTTTTTATTCAAAAATCGGACAGGGGGCATTANTAGCCGGGGAGAGTTACAAACAGAGGATGAGAATCCATGCATTCACAAATCAAGGGATCGATTTTTCAGACATGGAGAGGAACATGGGAGATTTAATTTCTACAAACTTTAGACCTGAGTCTGACGGGACGTTTTATGATTGCTGATGTCCTCGGTATGGATTAGTGGTTGGCAGAATGGGGGGGGGAGCCTATTTTCGAGAGCTGTATATGACTGGTGAGCTAAAACCACGACAACCACAACATTGTGACTATTTTGAAGCACCTAGTTGAAGGGAACTAGACAAAGATCGCTTACTTACCCGGCGTGCTTAGAATTGCTACTGATGCCTCAGTGTTCGGCAAAAAATCCCTCGGAGGTGTACTCTTTTCGTCTCCATAGGTAACAAATATTGCTCGTTAACT